CTTCAGCTAAGTTTGAAGTTCAACGATTCAACTTTGATAACTCTCTAATACGTGTTAAATCTGTTTCTTCGAATTTCTAGTGTAGGTCGTGTCTTATCATGCAAAGTTGAATCGATTTTTGTGCCCTCGAAGCTTGATTTGTGCAAATTTCAAGGCGTTTTTGTAACGTTAACCTTATTTGGTTCAAGAATAATTTTTTGCTGACTGGCCACTGCCACCAGTGATAATACATATGTGATTATGTGTTTTAAAAGGCATGGAGCAGACATATTGTACGTGAGGAAGATATTTATGAATCTTTTTCTCCACACAATTCATTATGTAGCAGTAATAAATTTGATGATTATGATTTTTAAATTTGATTCTAATAATTTCCATTTGTTGGGTCCTTCCTAGACTGTCCAGAACTTTCCCTTGTTTGTTCGTCAAATTGTCATCATGGCGTCTCGCTGGCGACACTGGGATGCCGGGTGCCATGACAGCCTCCAGACTGTTCTACAGTTCCAATCCTTACAACAGTCCTCAGAAACAGACGGGTCTTTCAATGGACAGGACAGCAGTGACGAGGTATCACACCATAAGACCATTGTCCGTGTAATTTTACATACATAAAGATGTTGTGAGATGGTACATTATGTGACTGGTGATGTGTAGCAAAGGTAGCCTGGGTACCATCCTGGTATAATGATATGATATGAATCTTTATTGCATGTTCTTGCCCAGATGGGCTAAATGCACAAGAGGATGTCCAGTATGTAAAACATGGGTATTACATACTGGTACGTTGTATTCTAATGCAGAGTGCTAGGAATCTATACATTACAATAATACTATATACTACCTATCATCTACTGCTAGTTGCCCTTTCTTCTCTCTTTTTGAAACATTTGGAAACATAATTACATAGTTTGTCTACTGTAAATTCGTTCTTATGTGACATCAAGTGTTTAAACATGTCCTGCTAATAGTAATCTAGGAATTGGTACCCAGGCTATAGCATACAGTGGCATGATTTCTTCGATCGCTACTGATAGTATTATAATAGTTTCTAGTGGCACAGTAATATCATAGTTTTACAAAATTCTGAGTTACATATTGGGAAATTCACGGCCCTAGCTTAGCATTACACAATGGTGATGACGTGGCCCATGCATCCATTATGTTCCATGCAGATTGTACTTCATGGTACATTTTGTAACTGAAGTACATCTTTGTCCTGAAACTTTCTCTTTCCTTGCTAAGAAGTCGTGTATTTTCTGTCCTCAGGAACTACAGGCGGTCCCAACACCAGGTTTGGGGAGGGGCATCACCAGACCTCCAGCTGCATCGATAAGACTTCCCCCAAACCTGGCCTACCCAGAGCCAAGGAAAACAGTAGAGAACAATGTATGCTATCTCTGACTAGAAACTGCTTTTTCAACATTCCGTGTGAAAGATATATTGTAGTCATACTAGTAGGGACATGTATTGTTGCTTCATGTAATCAACTTGATAGAGAATTAATTCACTGTGACATGAACATTAATCCACAACTCCTTAATCTCTCAAGAGTAGATATTTAACAAGTAACTAATAAACAGAGAGTAGCTTCTTTTACCCGCATTCCTTGCTTAAACCTGCATGAACTTCTAGTACTTGTCTCTAGGTGGCGCCCCTGCCATTGAGCTACCCAGCATCCTCTTCTTCATCTCTTAACTGTCCATTGGCCAATCAGTTTGAGGATGACTGGAGAATTCAGGTGTGGAGGTTTATTTTCAGAAAGTAAACTTTCTACAGGTTTTTTTTCCGTAAATGTACAAGGTTTATGATGTCAAAATTTGAAATCTTGTTTTTTTTCTTCCCTGTATCTGTATCGCATTAGGTTTGGAGTCTGTGGAGGATGTTATCCATAAAATTTACTTGCTGTGGCCTTAAATAGATATGATTATTGTTAATATTTTTTTCAAAGGCAATGACTTCATTGCACACTTTCTTACAAAAGCTTACTTGTAGAAATCTGTTTTGTGACTCAATGATGGTCTTTTTTAGGAAACCAAGCAGAAGTTATGTAGGGTTGGTGTTGGGCGGGGAAGGGGTAGAGTCAGATCAGAGGTACTCGGCAAAACTCCAGGCAAAGCAACTGACAACGGCTACGTCTTCAGGTTAGTGTGATTCTTACAGAGTTACCAATGACTCTCCTTGTTTGCAGTATAGATTGTATGTTTGGGCCTTAAAGGAATCCAATGCAATTTCAGGGACTCCGAGGCAAAACAAAAAGGACATTCTGGATGAGGAAATCTGTCTGATATTGACATTTACCGTCATTCTTTTGCACATTTTTGCCATCATTCCACAGTTACCGGTATATACAACAAGAGTTTCGAATAGCCGCAAAAAGCGCTACATGAGGCATCTCTTTATTTTTTGGGCACCATCCATAAATAAACCTACAAAACAAACAAAAAACAACAGTTTTCCATCAGCGATATCAAATTTTGCATACAGATATCATGCTTTGGGATAGGGTTTATTCAACTTAATACATTTAAAGAATGACCAGAAAATTGACTTCTGAAAATCCAGTTTTGCCACCCTGGCATTGCATTGGATGCCTTTTAAGCATTTGAAATTTGAATACTCTCTCTCTCTTTTTTTCAAGAATTTTATTCAAGAA